ATTTTCAGCATTTTTTAAAGACCTTTATTAACAGGTATTTGCATTTGATGACTTTTTTGAAAAAAATTAACTTGTAAACTTTTATTAAAAATTAAAAATGAGGTTCTTAAATATCTCAACTTGACCAGATATAAAACAATTGAAAACCTTTAAAGGTGTATTGAGAAAAAGTCTTTAAAAAAATATATATCACATTTTCATTATCAACATCTTTAGGCTGGATAGATAATGCAAATAGTTCGAGTTATCTGGTCAAGGGTGAGGGCTTCAGCTCCAATCTTTTGTTCATTTCTCACTGTTGGAACTTCAAATTTATTTCCTCTACTTGGATGACTGAACCAGATGATGACAGAGATGGTAAACTGGCATTTGCTCTACCCTGCCCTTGGTAGAAGACAATTTTCAGTTGGTGGATTGACTGCTTTGTCTCTTTGCCATCTTGTGGTTTAGGGTTTTCTAGACATCTGCATCAGTAATTAAAGTTGCAGCGGTACCAATGTTGATGTGGCTGCTGACCTGGGGCCACAGCTCCTTGATTTTCATCTTTTTTATTGCTGTTCTCTTTACACTATCTTTGGCAAGGAGGGCACGTGAAGAATGGTTATATAGCTGTAACCCTAATACATACTCTCTTACTGGCCTATCTTTTCTCTTGCACCCTGGTTGTCAGCATCCTCTGTGGCTTCTCCCTGAATAGGAGAATTGGAATGCTGTGGTTGACATCCAAAGATACTGCATGTAGTAAGGTGGGCATCATGGCCTGCAGTAAGGCTGGTGCTGTTGGGCCTGGCCCTCAGGAGCACTCTCCAATCCCTCATTCATATCACCTTTTTCACCATTCTGGTAATTCTGCTGGTAATTGTGTGGAAAACCCCTGGGGCATGGATAGCATCTATTACAGTTACAGTCTGCTGCATACATACTGCCTTGCACTGAAACTCCACCAGGGCCTATAACATTTGCTGCCTCTGCGCCGTTTTCTCCTTCAACACTGAACTCCACAAGCTCTCCATCTCCTAAACTGCGAGGGGACTTCCTGGAGCTATCTTCCTTTTTGGTAGTCTGCTGAAAAAATACATCTTCCTTAGTATCATTCCTGTTGATGAAACCATATCCATTTCTTACATGGAGCCATTACCTTCCTTGCGATAACCTTCTAGTCCCTCCAATCTTTTCTGTCTCTCTTCTAATGTTTCCATCAATCTATATTCAGGTACATTTATTTCTCTATCATATCGATCCTGCTAATATGGATAAAATTTCCATTTTCCAGTTCTAAAATTTCCATTTGATTTTTTAAAAATTTTGTGTCTCATCCCCATCTTTTGATTCATTACAACCACTTTTTTACCTCACTAGTTATAATAAATAGCTCCCTAAAAGTAGCTGTGTGATAATTCCATAATTCTGGGGTATCTTGGAGTTGGTATATGTCAAATTTCTCTTCCATTAAGAGTAAGTTCTGGCTTTTCACAGTATGAGTAACTTGGCTTATATGCTGGACACTGTGAGTATTATTCTGAAAGTATTGATGTTTTCATTTTGGGGGTCATTTTCTTGGCTAGATGCGATTATAGACTTACATGCTTCTTATGTGTCGAGTGATTCAGATGTGATGGTCAGTTCAAGGAGGCTTCTTTACAATCTATTATTAGTTTGTGATGATCACAACATGGTGGTCTCAAGGATCAGTCAGAGATTTAGTTTTAAATTTTTAAATACAAAATTCAGACAGTTTTCTGGCTGGCTCTTCTCCAGGGTTGCCCATTTATCTTCATGTAGTGCCAGTTGTCCCAGTGCTTTTTACCCTACTTTTTCTGGCCAGAGAGTTTTCTATTTTAGTTTTTTAAAATGGGGAACGCAGCCCATGCTGACGACTTGTTCCATATTTTGACACTTCTCTAAAACCTGCCTTCTTTTATTCATTCTCCAGGGCCCTCAGGTAGATGCTTTCTGTATTATGTCCAGAGTTTTTAAGTGGTTATTTGTTGGGAGATCGCCCTTCCAAATGAGTATTAGAAACCCCCCAAAGTGATTTTTTACTTTTGAAGATTGTTTTATACATTTTTATCTTATCAGTCAGATCTTTATCATAAATAATAAACTGATAAAAAATAATTATGCTGTCATTTTCTTGAATAGAAGAATGCAAAGCTGAAAATTGAGGTATCTACCAATGGAGACTAATAACTTGCCACATGAGGTTATATGACAATTAGAAAATTCCCCGAAACAATTAAAAACTATCAACTTTGTTAAAATCTGTGTTGCAAGTTTGTCAAAAGGCCACCATATATATGAGAATTCATAATCTTATAGACAGTCCATAACCCCAATCAAATAAATGTAACTCATGCTAAATTTTACTATACTAGACAAAGTTATATTGAGAAATTCTGGATTTTACAAATTACTTTCAAACCTAACAATTTATTGAATTGATTTGCGATACCCTCCCTTATTTACTGTTAACTGAAAATAACCAAGTACAAATATTCATTGACAAGATACACCAATCAAAAACAGGCATTTCACAAGAAGAAAATTACCTAACACTCTAGTGACAGGCCAAAATCACCTGAGACTATGGCTGAAGGTTGGGGGGAAGCCACAATTAATTTATTTTATTTACTTCAGGGCCCAGATGTTGACATGCTATGTACATTAGGCTCTGAATCATATACTGTCTGACCATTACAATTAGAGAAAACTCCATATAACTTGAGGCAACAAATAATAAATTCTGTTATTACACAACAATGAATAATTTAAGCTTCATTTGTGACTTAAACTAAATGTCAACTAATTAATATATCCTACACACATTAAAAATTCCACAACAACCCTCTACTCTTTCACTCACAGGAAGTGACTTTGCTTCCTGCTTTACCAAGAAAATTGAGGCTACAGTGTGTGAACTATCTCAGCCTTTTTTCCAGTCAAAACACAACTTGATCTTCATCTGCATCCATTCCTCCTTCCCTTTTTCATTCTTTAAATTTATAGAAAAAAATGTAATGTCAAAAATTTTTGCAGATATATTTCCTGATAGTAATTATACTTTTAGTATTTAAAAATTGAGAAATTGAGAAAATACATATGCAACTATAAATTTAAAGTCAACTTCCATTAACAACAAGGGACCCTTGAAATGCTGGCAGCTTTCAAACTTAATACTTTTTCATGTAATTCCCAAAATTTAGAGGTTTTTTTTTTTTAAAAGTTCTAACTTTAATATAGGTACTCTGTATCTATGTTAGGATGCGAGGAATACATTCTGTATCACATGAGTACTTATGCATAGAACTTATTGACACAGGGTTAACACTCATTTTCACTGTTGGTATGGAAGAACGTGATAAGAGCGGGCCATATGACAAATTATTAAGTTTGCAAAGTGGTTCAGGATAATTTCTCCTTTCTAAATGGAAGAATTACATAAGTGTTTATATTCAACCCTTTTTCCTTTTTGCACCTGAAAGCACCTATTAATTCTGAAATTTCACTAGAGCAATCATATTGGATTTATCATTTGCATATGTGTATTTACTTGATTTTCTAACTTTATGTTTCATTGGTTTGGTTGTCACTCTACTTAATATCATTCTATTAGTGCTTCAGGAAAGCCACTTCAAATATTTTATAGAACAAGACAAAGCAGTAAGCAAGGAAGGGAGGCTGCAATTACAAAAACATTCCAATACAAAGCCACTTGGCACAACTAGGTCTCAAACCTAACAAAAAGACCCATGAAGGAAAAGGTAACTGAACAAGCACAAATTCACTTCTAGAAATAAATAAAATTATATGGAAAAAAGATGGTAGCAAGTATTATCTCTTTGACATAAAAATGACAGCATTATCCTCATGCAATTTATGATTACTAAAATCACTGAAAACAGAAGTGTATCTTCATAAGAGTAAATTCAAACTGTCACATATATGTTCAACATGGAACATAAAAATATAAACAGAAATACTAATGCAAAAATAAAAACACAAAAAAGTATTTTTAATGTTAGTAATCCTTTTACATAATACAATCTTTACACTGATTATTTAAACATTAAGTTTAAAAAAACACACCTCTTCCATGAAAGACATGTACTTTTTCAGAATTATAAACACTTTCACATATACTATATAATTATTTTTCAGCTCCAAACAGTTAAGGATGCCATTATTCCCAATGTGATTTTAATAAAACTCTTATATTATCCCTAGCCAGGTGTACTGCATAGTAAATAGTGTGGTGAAGGCCTGGGGAGGAGCAGAGGCTGAAAGGTAGGGGGGTAAAGGGGGAAAAATTGAGGGATATGTGTAATACTGTCAACAATTAAATTAAATTAAATTTTTAAAAAGTTAATTTATATTTGTGAATGTAATATCTTACCCAAATAAGTCTTCGTTTTAAATGTTAAAAAGCAGAAGAATATAATAAATCATATCAAATAACTGGTTTTATGAAATTAGAATTCTTACTTGGTACTGACTGCCTAACCAAAAACTGAATAATTTCAGCCACATGTAATATTTTATACCATTTTCCTTTTAAATCTTTAACTATTCTTTCCAGGTTACCTCTAATTTGAAAAATAACAGCCTTTTCATTTGTTTATTATGTAATTTATATATTTCAAAATTTGATATTTCAAAATAGCACATTAAGCAATATGGTTTTATAAAATTTAGTATTTCAAAATTTTATTTAAAAAGCCATGGCTTCAACATTAGAAAACAAACTAAAGAATAAAAATAGTTCATGAAAGGTAAACATTAAAAAGAAAAAGCACATTTGAAACAAAATAAACATTATAATTAATGTTTATTATTATAAACATTATAATAATAAATTATTATTATTTATTATTTTTTAGAACTCAAAAAATAGAGATGACTTTTAAACCACATTGAAGACTATCACTATATATTATATCACATTTCACATAAAATTTACATAAAACTTTCCACAGAATTTATAATAAGAGAGTTCTTACTACCTTATATCCAGGTCCTAACTGATGAATTGCAAATATCTGTGCAGGGTTGAGTGCTTCACTGAATACATACACGGCACCAAGTTGACCACAGAAAACCCTATTTGCATCAGCAGTTTCGGAGGATCCAAGAAAGCACTTGTCATAGCTCTATTTTAAAAAAGCCATAAAAATCAAATGTATTATTTTGAAATGACAAAATATTTAAGGATACCTTCCTTAATTGTCATAAAAGTAACAGAAGAAAGCATCAGTTAAGACTTCTGGAGTACTTCAGTAACAAAGCCAGCTGAAGATTTTTAGGAAAAATAAGTCAGTTAAATGTTTTATATTGATGGGCAAGCTAAACAAACAATAACCATTTACTCAATAATCACTTGACCACTTTCCAAATTTTACAGTTAAAAGCAAAAGGGCTTATAGTTATTTATTTGCAATAGTAAAATTATTGTTAAACTATAATGATTTATAACTATCCAAATACAGAGAGATTCATCTGAATCAGAGAATAACTATTCCAATTTTAACCAAAAATACACAGGGCCTAGTTTTTAAAATTCAACCTAATTTCTCCACTACTGATATATTCCTCTATCTCTCCACACAGTGAAAATCATTTCCCTCTTTCACACATGTAAGCATTATTCATAATCAAATAAAAAAGATCATCAAAGTCTGATGCCTAAAGCGGATGGTACAGTGCTCTCCATCAGGAGATTTGAGCACCTAAGAAGCCACACTTAACAAGACCCTTTCCACTTCTACATATTAAACCTCACCTAATACGTGGTCCCACCCATCCAAACCAGTGAAAGCAGTCACTGCCATTCCCTTCCCCCATCCTCACAGGTTATTCCACACATAGGAATGAGATACAAAGACAGAAATTACTCATTAAATATCCAATCCTTAAATAAAAGTATAAGACCTTAAGAACTGACTTCATAACGTATATGTATATATGTATTATTGTCCAGGCCGCTCCATTTTGTGGAGTACTATTGCAAATAATTCAAAAATCAAAGTATTTCCTTCCTTTTATTAAAAAATATGTAACTGTAGATAGAGTTAATGACAGTCAACAAGACCACTGAGGTTTTTTCCACTCTATTAAAAAGACTGTTCCCTTTGGAGGGCAAAAATTAAGAAAAATTTAATCTGTATATTCTAATTCTGACAAAATCATCTTCATAAATATTTACTGATTGTGGCCCAACTATGAGTTTCTAGGGCAGAAAAAGCAAATTTTTCCTATAAAGAAACAGATAGTAAATATTTTACGGTTTGTAAGCCACATGTGGTTTCTGTCATCTTCTTTGATTTTTGTTTGTTTGGGTCATTAAAAAGGTAAAAACCAAGATTCTTAGTGTCTAGGTCATACAAAACAGGATGAGGTCCCTGACCTAGAGAACAAACTACAGGCTACACATACAGCGCTCACTACAAGACAGAACAAGAGCCAATCCCTGCACTTGAGAGGATAAAGTCTACTGAGATGCAGATAATACTGAGATATGAATTTTATTAAAAAGAAGTGGTTTTTGTAAAACCAGATTTGCTGAAATTATTCTTTTGGCACTAGAACATATCTCTTTCTTTTGCTCTAACAGCCCAGGATGAAGATAAAAGAAGGACCAAAATAGAGAAATAAGAGTTTTTAAGATTTTAAATCTATATATCCTCTATTAGGAATCCAACTATTACCTCCTCCACTGCTAACATGCAGGTCAAAATTAATATTATCTCTTCGTTATAGCAATAAGCCATTTTATGGATCTCCCTGCTTCTGCCACTGTTTCCCTTCAAAATATTCTCAATACTGAAGCCTGATTGATGTTTCTAAAATGTGAGTCAGCATCACATCACTAGTCTGTACATAACCTTATAAAGATTTTTATGCTGGGTAAAATGGGTAAGCTCATGGCTTATGTTGGTACATGAGGCCCTGCATGATTTGACCCTTTAGTATCTGCTTTGCCTCATCTCTAAAATTCTTCTTCTTCCCTCTGCCCCAAACAAACTGGTTACTCTGTTCTTTAAGGAACTTTCCAGTTTTGCCTCAAAGCTTTTGCACTCACTGTTTCCAATGAATAGGATATTCCCCCAAATATCCGCATGGCTTGCTCCCTCAACTCTAATAAAATCATTTCTGTACCATCTGGCTTCTCCCTTGCTTAAACCTATACACTTCCTATACTTACCTGTTCCCACTTAATTTTTGTCCATAGCAATTATCACCATTTATCTAATTAATAGTAGTGACTACATTTTATATTAATCTGTTTAAGGTCTTTGTAATAGTAGTGACTACATGTTATATTAATCTGTTTAAGGTCTTTGTTTCACATACAAATAAAGTGAAAGACACTTTTTTATGCCTGAGATCCTGGAAATATTAGAATATTGTCTTGATATTTTTTTTACCTTATACTTAATAAGTTAGCCAAGCAATTTTCCTTTTTTTGTATCACTAATCATGCCTTGTAGCAATTATATTAAATTTAAGACTTAAAAATTCATTTAATAGAAAAAAATTTCAAAGTAAAACTATTAAGTTTCTAACAAACTATTTTATTATTGAATTCATGTTATAAACAGTGATATGTCATACATACTCAAATATATTAAAACACAGATTTTTTAAAAAGAACTTACATCATTTGTGTTAACATGCCAAGCCATATCACCATAGGATACCAGCTGTCCATTAACATAACATCGAATTTCACTGTTCCTCCATCGGTTGTATATGTGGACAATACTGATCATGTACCACTTTAATGAAAAAAAATTAAAGATGTCAAAAGGTAATGTTTATTTTTATTGTATAAAAAGTAATTGTAACATTCATAACACACCTACGAAAAATGCTTGAAGAAACTAACAGTTACCCTCTACCATTTAAATTCCTTCATCTCATTTCTCATGTATCAGATGAATTAAGTGATTCATAACAAATAAATTTATGTTTGGGACAGAGCTAAAACCCCTTGAATCTTGGCACGCCTTCCATTAAACTAAGATCCAAAAATTGTGGAAATACAATTATATTTGCAGTCATTCATTTAACAACATTTACATTATGCCAGATACTGCAAATACCCAGATTTGACAGGACCAACCATAACTCCAACTCTCCTGAAATTGATGGTATAATGAAACAGAAAAACATTTTAAAAAGTAAAAAAATATAGAATCACAAGTCACGATGATTATTGTGGAGAATAGAGAATATGTAAAATGAGAAAGAATAACCTAGATTCTACTTCAAATTGCATAGTCAAGAAAGACCTATCAAATAAAAAACATTTTAACATTTATAGTAAGATTTAGGTGCAATTGAAACACAATTTAGACTTATTAAATCCATAAATAAAAATAACATATTCTAAACTTAATAATATATGAATATTCATTAAGAATAAAGAAATAAATTTACATTGATTTCTCATTTTATGGTTACCAAGGTTTTTCTTAAATTTATTTGATGCGCAATTTTTATGACATCTTTCTGATAAGTTTGTAATATTTAGAAACATTTTTAGTCTTTCTAAATATTACATTTTGGTGTTTCAAAAACACCAAATTTTTAGTGTTTATTTTGATATGGGATGGTTTAAGTTCTGTAATAATTTGTGGATCCAAGCAAAGAATATAAAAATATTTTTCTAAAAGATAGACAAATTCAAATGATTTACAGATATTTGAACAGGTATAACTTCAGTGGATAAGGGGTTGTGGATAATTAGACTAGCTGTCCTAAAAAACATAAAAATATAAAATACAGACCTTGTTTTCCAGATTACTTAAAAGCACTATTCAATTATTTAACATATACTTGCAAAGTATATAGCTTTAATAATAATTCTCAACCACTAAAATATGTTATTTCAAGGTGTATGGAATATGTTGAACAAAATTCAATTTAATTTATTCTGATTTAGAAAATAAAAACTGAACCACCCAAAGAAAACAGTAGTATATAACAATGTGTAAAAAAATGTCAGGTCAAATCATTTAACTCCTTTATATGTCTTTTTTTTTTAACAGTTGTTTGATTCTAGGTAATCTAATTTTTTGGAAACTCAGCCATTCAAGTTAGTCATTTAACAGTTCATGTTTCTTTTTTTTTAAATATATCTTTATTGATTTCAGAGAAAGGAAGGAAGAGGGAGAGAGAGAGACAGAAACATTGATGATGAGAGAGTCACTGATCAGGTGCCTACTACACGCCCCTGACTGGGGATCGAGTCCGCAACCTGACATGTGCCCTGATCGGGAATCGAACCATGATCTGCCTGGATCCTAGGCTGATGCTCAACCACTGAGCAATGCCCAGCTGGGCAGTTCATGTTTCTAAATATTACAAACTTATCAGAAAGATGTCATAAAAATTGAGCATCAAATAAATTTAAGAAAAACCTCATAGACATTTACATATATCAGAATAAAAATTTATCAATATAGCCTGCAATGAGTTTGAAATTTTTCAGCCAGACAGCTATCAAGATAAAACAGGAGATACAGCCCAGCTGGGCATGGCTTAGTGGTTGAGCATCGACCTCCAGACCTAGGATCCAGGAGACTGCAGTTCGATTCCCAGTCAGGGCACATCCTCGAGTTGTGGGCTCGATCCCCAGGCAGGGGCATGCAGGAGGCAGCCTATCACTGATATTTCTCTCTCTCTCTCTCTCCCTCTCCCTTCCTCTCTGAAATCAATAAAGATATATTTATTAAAAAAAAAAAACAAACAAACAAAAAAAAAAGCAGGAGATACAGTCTTTATATTTTCAGTAACATTTTTAGAAATTAAAATTTATAACTATAATAGACATAAATGCTTATAAATACAAAAAACTTTCTGTAGCTAAAATATATTTATAGGATAAATACTAAAAGCTATACTATTAAGATATTCCAAGATGGAAGTGGATTAAGTGAAACTACACTGACTTTCTACCAAGACCAAGGTGGAATTACAACTAAAATACAGACAAATCATCCTGAATAAATAACTGAAGACTAGTTGGAGAGAACCGTCATAACCAAGGATGTAAAGAGGAGGGCACACTGAGACTGGTAGGAAGTATGGCAGTGTGAGGGCTGGCTCGGTTCTCACAGGCAACAGCTGAAGTTCTGGAGAGGTATCTCAGCTGTAGGGAGGTTCCCTCTGAGTAGTCTTGGGTCTAAACCCAAGGCTGGGTTCCTTAGCCCAGAGTAACAGAAACAGGAAAGGTGCCCAGATAACACCTGGCTATGAAAAGCACCAGGAGTTCTGTCCAGCAGGGAGAGACAGCTAAAAACACAGACACACCCTTAATGGGCGAACAATCTAAATTTTGTTTGTAGCCACTCTCCTTGAGATCTGGCACAGAGAAGGCAGAGTGGACTAGAGTTGCATGAGGAGAGTCTGGGGTTACTGGCTCTGGGGAGGCAGCTAAGAGGACAGCCACCAGGATCCCTGTGCTGGGTCATTCCCCACTGCTGCAGAAACCATCTTTCTCAGGCACAACTTTTCCAACAATGCGGCCTTAGCATGGGGGGAAGCAACTGCCCCACCCATCGGAAAACCTCTCACCCCATCCTGTGTAGTTTATGTCCTGCTGTGGTCTTAAGCCTGAGGCTCATTAAGTTTCTGAGAATAACAAACAGGATGCATGTAGAGGTAGATATCTGGGTGCTTTGAGTTTTTACCTGACCTGCTTCTGGGCATGGGGCTAAGAAAAGCAGACTTGGTGCACAGCTTGGTCCTTTCCACATGCAACCAGATCCAGCAGAGGGAGCCACAAGTTGTGGCTCACTGATAGCCACAATCAGGGTACTCAAGGCCAATCACAAATAGCATCTGACATTGACCTGCACCAGAGAACCTCTGAAGAAACCCAATATCAGTAAACCGAGTGGCCAGATTTAGACAACAACAGAGCAGCATACAATAAGATTCACAAGCACTATATTCACAGGAAAATATTGACAGGATCCAAACCCTGCAGAGATGGATTCATCTTCATGTGATAAGCACTTGCACAGAAGCCAGCACATGGTGTTGGCTACTGAGCCTCATTGTAGGCCTGAAGGGCAAGGCAATGCACAAATGGACTAACAGCAAGAAAGACTCAAATACAACAGGAGGGCCCACACAACATGCACAATGGACATTCGAGCATGCAGGTCCAGAGATCAGGGAGACTGCAACATTGTATTCTACAGGTTACCTAAAAAATAAGCCTAAGCTACCAAGACCAGGAATTGTAGCAGATCTACCTCATACGTAGAAACAAAACCAAAATGCAGTGATAGTGGTGAGACAAAGAAGCCCCAAATGAAAGAAGAAGATAATTCTCAAGAAAAGGAGCTAAATGAAATGAAGATAAATAATTTATCACATATAGAGTTCAGAACAGTGATATAAGGATGCTCAAGCATGAAAAAAATATATAGAAACTATGGAAAACAACCAGTCCAAAATGAAGAAAGACATAGCAGAAATAAAAATACAATGGAAGGAATAAAGAGCAGATTGAAGGAAACTAAGGATCTGATCAGTGAACTATGGGACAACATGAAACATAACAATAATTGGATCATAGAAGTTCCATAAGAAAAAGAAAGTGAGCAAGGTATAAAAGTGAGAACCTATTTGAAGAAATAATGGCAGAAAACATCCCTAACCTGGTGAAGAAAAAAATCACACAAGTTAAGGAGGCACAGAGAGTCCCAAGCAAAAAGAACCCAAAGAGGTCCATACCCAAACACATCATAATTAAAATGCCAAAAGTTAAAGACAAAGAATCTTAAAGGCAGCAAGAAAACAGCAGTTTATTACCTACAAAGGAGCTTGCATAAATCTGTAGGCTGATTTCTCATCAGAAACTCTACAAGCCAGAAGGGAATGGCATGAAGTATTCAAGGTAATGAAAAGCAAGGATCTGAAACTAAGAATAATTTATCTGGCAAAACTATCATTCAAAATAGAAGACGAAATAAAGAGCTTCCCAGACAAAAAAAGCCTAAAAGAGTTTATTACCACCAAACCAGCATGGCAAGAAATATTGAAGGTACTGCGGTAATAGAAGAAATAGAGAGAGAGAAAATCATAGGCATAAAGAACAATAACGGCAATATATAACCTTAAACATAAATGGATTTAATACTCTAATCAAAAGACATAGGGTAGCTGAATGGTAAGAAAACATGACTCATGTATGTGCTGTCTAAATGAGACCCATCTAAGAACAAAAGACTCACAAACTATGAAAGTGAAAGGATGAAAAAAATTTTTCCATTAAAGAAAACAAAAGAGAGGTAAGCAATATTTATATATGACAAAATAAGTTTCAAAGCAAAGACAATAACAAGAGACAAAGAAGGTCACTATATAATATGAAAGGGATGACCCAACGAGGGGATATAACCCTGGTAAACATATTTAAACACTAGATAAGAGCACCTAAACATATAAAAAAATTTCTGAGTGACTTTAAGAGAGAGATCAACAGCAATACAATCATAGTAGGGGAATTCAACACCCGACTGATTTCACTGGACAGGTTTACCAGACAAAAAAAATCAACAAGGAAACGGTGACCCTAAATGACACACAATACCAGATAGATTTAACTGAGATTTACAGAACATTTCACATCAAAGCTGCAGAATATACATTCTTTTTTTTTTAAATATGTTTTATTGATTTCAGAGAGAGGACGGGCGAGGGGGAGAGAGATAAAACATCAATGATGAGAAAGTCATTGACCAGCTGCCTCCTGCACACA